AAATGGAAATGGTTCTTTTGAAAATCAAACAAGGTATTCAGCTGGCTCTTTTCCATTTTGTGTAGCTGTTGGTGATTTCAACAACGACACTCGACTAGATGTCGTTGTTGCCAATATGGGTGGCGATGATGTGAGTGTCCTTCTTGGAAATGGAAACGGTTCTTTTGAAAATCAAATAAGGTATTCAGCTGGCTCTTCTCCAGTATCTGTTGTTGTTGGTGATTTCAACAACGACACTCGACTAGATATCGTTGTCGCCAATCAGGATAGCAATGATGTGAGTGTCCTGTTACAATATACGAGAGGAGCGATAGCATATAAGATGTCGTATGCATCTGGCGGTGGATCTAGCCTACAAGGCGTCGTGATTGGTGATTTGAACAACGATGCTAACCTGGATATCGTCTTAGCTAATTATGGCACTAATAATATCGGCGTCCTTTATGGATATGGAGATGGTAGTTTCGAGAATCAAATGATGCTCAGCGCTGGTGCGAATTCTCATCCGATTTCCATCGCGGTTGGCGACTTCAATGGTGACGGCGTACTAGATATTGCTTTAGCCAATAATGGTAGCAAGCATGCAGATATGATGCTTGGAAATGGAAAGGAAAAATTTGCAATTCAAAGAAGTTATGAAATTGGTTTTGATTTACCTCCGTTAGCCATGGCTTCTGGGGATTTTAATAATGACGAACGATCGGAGATCGTGATCGTTAACGGTGGAAGTAATCATGTGGATATCTTTGTTGCGTACAATCATGGTTCTTTTGAAAATCAAGCAAGGTATTCTGCTGGCTCTGCTCCACAATCTGTAGTTGTTGGTGATTTCAACAACGACACTCGACTAGATATCGTTGTCGCCAATGGAGACAGCAATGATGTGAGTGTCCTTCTTGGAAATGGAAATGGTTCTTTTGAAAATCAAACAAGGTATTTAGCTGGCTCTTTTCCACAATCTGTAGTTGTTGCTGATTTCAACAACGACACTCGACTAGATATCGCTGTCCCCAATTATGAGAGCAATGATGTGAGTGTCCTTCTTGGAAATGGAAATGGTTCTTTTGAAAATCAAACAAGGTATTCAGCTGGCT